GTGTCGAAGAAGCACCGTAGGTTGTCTCCACGCCTTTCGGGCTGAACATTGAGGAGTTCCTGAAGTCTGGCTAGTACACCAGGCATTTAGATAACAGCCTGCAACCGAGAGATAAAACATCTATCTCGAAAGAGCAGATTAAATGACAAACTTATGAAAAGCACCAATAATATACCTCATTCTTGCCAAACATTTTAGCAAAAACGGTCAACTGTGCGTGCGCCATGTACGCACAAACACGAAGATTCGACTTAAAACGGTTATCGAAGACTTCGAAACATGCCTCAACCATGCCATCCGTAGGCAGGTATGGGAGGCTAACACTGAGTACTCACCAATTACAAAGAACGTTCAGTGAAAATCATCCACTACAATATTCCAAGTGCACCAAAGTGGGTGTACGCACATCCAAGAGACAAGGGCCTGATAGCACGGCCCTGCTAGGACAATACAATCCACAACTTGACGTCAATTACAATACAACGAGCTCGAATACAATTAAGAAGTTACAAATCTTGAATACCATCAAGCAGAACTTCAATACCAAAACTTAGAGGTACCTTAGTAGAGTGAGACAATAAAATCCATCACTTCCCCTCCCCGCAGAATCCTACTGCAGGGTGTGAAGGAGGATTTAGCACTACTAATTACTTAGTGCTACCTCTCGAAGGTCTCCAAGAAGGGGAGAACTTCTGAGGGGGACGGATCACACGACCAGTACGAGTAGTACGGGGCGGCGGCGAACCTGGGGGAACAGACTCAGGCAAAACCGCCGGCTCTAGAACTTGAGGTGAGCGGTCTTGCTGATCCGTGATTCCCGAGGACACATGGGGAATATTAGAACCACTTGAACCAGCTGATATGGCAGAAAGCATTTGACTACGGGCCGAAGAGGACGGTCGTGATCCGACAGATCGGGCCGAAGCATCCGCAATAGAACCATTATCATCAGGGCTGGAACCAGCAGACCGACCAGACTGAAGCACCGGATGAGATCTTCGCGACGAAGATAACCCTTCACTCGGCAATAGACTTGGGTTTTCAGAAGGAAGACTAGGAATCGCCGGACCAGAAGCCTCTTCGATTAGCATGTCACCATCTCGAGGGCTACGAACTTCTCCAACCTGTGGTAGTGGTTGTAGCACATCAGTATCATCTTGAGCAACCCAATATGCCGAAAGTTGAGGCTGATATGGCCTATCATGAGAAGGAGAACCCATCTCGGCGACATATGACGAAACTTCATCGGAATCTGCAAAATGATCCAAATGGTCTTCTTGCAATACCGGATCCGTTCTAGGGATTTCCTTGAAAGGATACAAGGAACCCTTGGAGCTTCATCA